ASTRTWTTAAAAAATTCGCCTTTACAATACTGCTGAGCTAGGTGTTTTTACGAGGAATTACATTGAAAAGAAAAAAGAAACTTATAGAACTGATTTATCTTACATTCTTAAAAAATACAAAGCGCTGCAAGCAGACTATTTAAAAAATTCGCCTTTACAATACACCAGAATTTAAAAAAAAACAACAATATTTAAAAATATATATTTTTATTAAAGTATTTTCACAGTTGAGGAGGTTATCTATCATCTATCTATCATCTATCTATCATCTATCTATCATCTGTCTATCAAAGCGGTCATTCTCCCTGAGTGAAAAAGCGCCATTATGTATGATAAAGGTCTATAAACAAGACAAACCTGTTTGAGTTCATTCTGTAGTGAGGGGTCCATGGTATATCTGCCATCTCCKCGGTCTTGTCCAACACCTTGACTTTGCTGAAGTCGAATTTGTGACAACAGTTCGTTCAGCCTTGCCTGAAACGAGAAAAGCATGCGAGTTGAAACTGAATTCCTAGCTAGTGATTTTTTTTCTGAAATAACTAGATCACAAGCAAGAGAGAATAAATAAGAAAGGGAAACTTCTTAATAACGCGCGCGTCATGTAACCGAATGCAGWTTAAATTTTGCATTACCCTACTCCCGTGCGTCATCAATTTGCGCGCGGGCGCTCTTTCCGTTTCGTTTTTAGCGATCAAAACATCGCGATCGCACTGGATCTCACACGATCGCACGGTGGTTTACATATGATTGTATCCGATCGCACTTGATCGCACTTGATCACTGCGATCGGGTGCGATTATATGTAAACCAGGCTTAAACGGAAAGAGCGCCGCGCGCAAATTGGTGACGCACGGGAGTAGGTTAAGGCGAAATGTGAACTGCATCCGGTTACTAAAAACCGCCCAACCGGGAATTTACATGGCGCAAGYGTTATTAAGAAGTTTTCCTCTCTTATTTATGCTCTGTTGATGCAAGAGAATATGAAGTACTTTATTGTGTGAAGTACTTTATTGTGTGAAGTACTTTATTGTGTGAAGTACTTTATTGTGTGAAGTACTTTATTGAGTAAAGTACTTTATTGTGTGAAGTACTTTATTGTGTGAAATACTTTATTGTGTGAAGTACTCATTGTGTGATGATGATGCAGTAGAAAGGTGAAAGCTTAGTAAGTTTACTATTTCCTATTTAGAGCAGTATTTGGCCGTTTTTGACATTAGTTAACTGGGGGG